AGTTAGAAAATTTTCTAGTAGTATTTCTACGTTTACGGCTATTCAGCAAAAACATACTAGGAATAAAAGTGAAATAACTATCTTTCGGTAGCTCAATCGAAATAGGTTACACCACAAAACTGGCTACAACCTATGTAAAATATCTCTCATAAAGAATATGTAAATGTAAAGGGTTCAGTTGGTATGTAATATCAATGAATAACATTGGTAATATGGTACTCGTAAAACGGGCGACGAAATTGAGCATTGTTACCACGTGATTTACTAACTTGTATGTTGGTTGTAGCTCTAAGCCTAAAATAAATTACATACTGCATACCTGCAATTAGTTTTTCACCACACTACGATGTTTTTAGCTGTTTTACACACGTTAATTGGTGGCTGAAAGTTGCGTTTTGCAATAAATTTGGCGTAATCTATGAAATACCCCTGTAAAAACATGTAAACCAGCCCACCCCCTTCTCTTGTGACGAAGTTACTTCACACGTTTGGCCTATATTTCAGGGAAATTGGAAAATGTTTCAGGGATGCGTCACACTTACGTATACCCAAAACGTAAACGTAAAAATAATTCGACCGAAAACAACAATTTATTAACGTTACACAAACAAAGAGAGATGATATAGAATAGTTATGATGGCGGAGACACTCCCTATGAGGCTCATTTAGCCATGAACTTTTTGAATGGCACATGGCGACTGTTATGTGTGACTGATCGATAAAGATGGGATGTCTTCTTTGTAACCAAAGTCGATGGCTCTATCAACTGAAACGTCCATTTTGTATAACCAAATAGAACCATCCGCATCCAGTCCTCACTCAAAGAGAAACAGTTGAATTGAGCTTCAGAGGGAGAGGCTGTTATCAATTGCCACTTGTACACAACTTTGAAATACGATCCACTGAAGGGGTTTGTTATTGTAAGCCATGACAAGTTCATGCCACTTCTCTGACTTTCACTTGTTTGTTTAAATGAACCATTGAAGTATCAAATAATAAACTAAGAAATTAATATAGATTGAAGTATAAAATAAAATAAACTAAGATATTAATATAGTAGTGATAAAAATGGATTTAGATTGTGGGTCAAAAATAAGAGCTATGTTTTCTCCAAACCTCTAAACCAATTCTAGAGAAGTGAAGCCTGCCATCACAGAATGTCCTATGCTCGGTAATCTTTTTGGTTGGTTCCTTCAGGTTTATGTAGTAGGCGTAGTAATTTGTAGGAAATAATTTGTTTTTGTTAATCAACTTCAAAAATATTTAATACATACGAGGTATCATCCAAACCCGCAAAACATCTAGGGGATAAGAGTTTTAAATTGATACCCAAATATGTCTATAAAAATAAATATTTAGGGGTCAATTTGCTGCACACAAAAATCCAATAAATTATTTTAATAATATAGATATTTTTATGCTATTGCTGTTCTCTGATATTACGACCAAATTATAAAAGACAAATTTTAAAAACCAGCCTTAAAAGAAAATAGGAAATGTAGATTAAATCAGTCACAAACAAGAAACACTCATACATTCAGGTTCAAAATTTTACAACAACATGAATAGTCTACTCCAACCACTCAAAATCAATAAGTAAGCTTGTTTCTGTGTTTTGTTTGAAGATCTATAAAAATGTCTAAACCAATTGTTTCAACTGCAGAGTAAAATGTATACATAAAATGTATACAAAAATAAAGGCGAGTGTAGCCCGTAAAATATCCAGGAATAAATTTTAAAGCTGATGTTGCATCACATGAATAACTGATGGAAGTTATGATTGATCAGTATCCTACTATTGGGGTTGAGCATGAATGAATACGCAAATGCACCGGAAGTAGTGTTATATCCATCCAGGTATGATACAATGATACCATTAGTCCATTGACCGATTCAATTCAGACAAGTTGAGAGTGGTTTTACCTAGTTTTGGTTCTTGCCTCATGGTAAAGTTACTATTGGAACTTACTGTCTAGCGTATCCGTGGACATTTACTTTTCATCAGTGATGAGTTAGGTAATTATTGTAAATTAATTAAAAGCATATACATATTTTTAAACATCATTTAAGTTCATTATGTTTACAATAGTCAATTTTTCATCCGGACCAACGTATAAAGAGTCACTTAAATTCAGGCCAATTCAGGTCACTTAAGTGAACCCTAGCACTAATCTCTGTACCAAGTCACTGCTTTTAACTAATACTTTAATTTATTGTTTTTGACCATTTTTAGACAGGTTGGTAACCTTGGTTTATTCTGAGGAATTTAAACTGAGTTGGATGAAATCGTTATAAAATAATTTAATACATCACATGCCGAGGGATGTTTTAACGGTGCTTGCATTAAATCTATCATATTCATAGAGCTAACACGTACTCGGCCTTACGAAAAATAGGAACTAGTTGAGTACTTTCTAAAACTATCATCGTTATATTCAGTCAGTTCAGACAGTACATTTAACATCTACCTTTCAGTACTTTCAAACTGGCAATGGACGCCAGCCTAGTTATCTTATCGATCCACAAAGCGATTGTAAAGAGGATATCCATTAAAACTTGAAGGGTTTAGAATCGCTTTACCTTCATGCATTTGTTCGTTGATGAACCACTGTGTTTGTCACCAACTAAAGCTGAAATGTTGGACTTATGTTGTTTTTGGTTTACTAATCCAATGGATTATTTCATTTATAGAAATAGGTTTAGTATAATAGTGAAATATTGATAACGTACTATACCAGTGAATAGGTTTTATGTTCAGACGGATTAAAAATGCGCCTTTTAATTAGGGTTGCCAAATTTGGTTGGTTTTGGGAAGATCTATTACTGAATATTACTGAAGACCTAACTCTTTATGGGCAACTGCTAAAAAATGTAAATCTTAACATATGTAATTTCATTTTGACAAACACAATATCATTATGTATTAGCAAAGGTATTAGCTACAGTGATATACTTTCACTGAAGTTTTTATTATATTTCATCATATTAAATTGCTTTATGCGTATTAAAAACTATTCACTATTCACTTTTTGTATAAAGTATTTTTTATTCATAGTTATTTTCGTGATTTTTTGGAATCCAAACTATTTTACATTCCCTTTTCAGAACACCAGGACCGCAATATTTGTAGAACACCACATTATAGCATTATTGTATTTACACCACATCGCATGGTAATACTTGGCATATAGTTTAATTGCATAGTTTCTTAACTAGTTTAAAAACATGTAAAAACTAGCTTTTGACGGAACTGATTAAAAATGAAAAAAAATCAAACCTATTGGTTTATCCAGAATAACGAAAACAATTGAAATATTGTCCCAGAAATTTATCCTGCAATTTTCTCCTCTCGTATCAACGTTTATGTTAAACCTGCAGAGTAATAGAATTGGTAATATATTCTGGCAAGTTTCGCGATAAAGAATAACTCAAACTCCTTATCGCAGCGATATTCAATTTTCTCCATCAGTAACACTTTCCATCCCATTAATCCAGGGAAAAAATCTCATTGATATAATTTTAATTTTATATTTAAACATAACAACACATAGATGCACTTTAGATTTACATACGTCACGAAAAAGTAATATAAAAGAGAATTAAAAATCAGATATTTCTTAGGTTAACAAAAAATTATAGTTTTACTTTTAAATAGCGCACTTTCTTTAAACTTGAGTGAATGAATAACATGCATTCATTGTTGGATTTTGTTTTAGAATAGTTGTTTTGTCTATTTATTTTTTATTTCAAACATTACGACACTCCACGTGCAATCTGCACTGAATTTGTCCTGAATTTCCGATTAAATATTTTAGGCACTAAGATAAATCCATGAACAATATTCGTGGATAAATATTATGTTACGCAATAAGATGAAATATACTGTATTACACATTAAAATGACTAGGTATAATATTGTTATTGGGTATCGAACTATTTCATTCTCCCATATATTAATTCAAAATTTACTAATCAGTAATCAAGCTCAATAACTGATTGGATAACTTTAAAAAAAAGGAATTTTCGAGAATATTATCAATTTAAATATCGTATTCCTTGTATGGGAAAGTTTCTAAAATATCATAATTTTGTCTTGGGTGGATGAATCATAAATATTTATTATATTACGATTACGAACTAATGGCTTACATAGAACATTAATGAAAACAATATTAGTGGGTGAATTTAGTAGAGAGCACATACGAGGTTTTTAACAAGATTCTATATCAAGTTAGAGTGAATAAAACACTATATGATCATTTTTATGATCACTATTTATACAATAGCATTCGTTAGGTTAAGCCTACTTTACCGTGTGTTAATGTTTTCGCTGCACCATGACGAAAACTACTATATTTACAAAATGGTTTCGGGGCTAACACGTCAACACATCAATAGGGTAACAAAGAATGAGGTCGAATCGAGTTTTTCACTTGAAAATCTACACATGGCACCATTTACTTTGCTACATAAAAGTGTAGCATCGCACCGTTATTACAACAAATTTGCATAGTAGTGAAACACTGTTTATTGTTTTGAGTCTCCTTTCGTCTCCTGCATTAAATTTTCTTCAAACAGTATCATGATTTTGGCAATATATGATAAGCAATGTTGAAAGTGTTCTTTTGGGAACTACTTAGCTTTGTGAACTGTTACGGCGTCGTCCAAAAACACGACGAACTGGACAGAGTTGGACACAAACCAAAAGGTAAACATGTACAAAAAATTACAATACAAATTAAAACACTATTTTATGAATCATACATAAATACCTCACAGTTTGGGCCTTGAGACTGGAGATTGAGATTCAGTGTACAAAATACTGTGTTCCGTACTGGTGAATTATTTCGTGCAAAGTGTACTGTATATTTCCAAACGTAACCTTTGATGTTAATCCAAAATGAATCTAAGAACGTTCGCGTATGAAAAGCGATGACACAGATTTCTTGGTAACGGTTGATTTTGTTTGAATCTTACATAATTTGTGTTTTTTGTTTTAGGATGAAGCTGCCTAACTTGAATCCTGGGCTCTTCCCCACTGGGGACTACAGGAAAGATGGCCTTAACTTATTCGCTAAATTTATTAGGACCAAAAATATGGAATCTATGCAAGAAGAGCCAGTTAGTAAAACGAAGAAAACGAAGGATGGAAAACTAAAATTGACGGTTAGTAGAGTTTATTTCTTATATAATAGTATTCATTATGCAGAGCCCAACAGTTGCTTTTCATCCTACATTATCCATGATTTTCATAGTTATTTAAACATGTATTTAGTTTATATCACTGTTCACATAACTTACGAATAGCTTTAGTGTGAAATACACTTTAAGTATAAAGAAATAAGCTAACAAAAAAGCAGCTCGCAAATGTTGCAGAATTAAAATATTACGAAACGAGTTTCTACAAACAATTCAGTATCATGATGTTACAGTTCTGATTCCGTCACAAGCACTAAACATTATCACGTGAAAGTGAGGTATTCCAGGTTATAACGGAAGTTTCATGACATGTTGAGACATTTTAATCCTCTTTGCGTGTAACGAAATTTTCAGTCTGCTAACATTGTTGTAGTTGGTTATTAAATAGGGAATTCAACGGATTTTTGTGATTTCATGTTGTTTTATTATGGTGTAAAATCGATTTTGTTTTTTCCGAATCGACTATTTGTTAACACTATCACTATCGTTGTATTTAGACAATTACGCCTTGTACACAAAGATGTAGCGTAATCAAAAGGTTATTGTAGAAATAATAAAGTGGACTGTATATGGGTTATTAATTTAATTTTGACAACAGAAAATATTGGACTTTTGGTATAATTTTTAATTCTGAACTATAGTTATGTTACCACTTCATGACGTTAAGGTCTTGAAAGAAGATCTGGTCGAATGTTGGCTCTAGTTGAGAAGATAATATGTTTCATTAATGTCCAAATGTTCTCACAGTAGGTACACAGAATTTAGAGTGAAATTAAAAAAGGTTTATTTAATGAACACAAAAGGAAAAGGTAAATGAAATAAGTCAAAATAAAAGGAGAGAGAAATGAATTATGTTACACAAAGAAACGATATTACAAGAGAGAAAAGTTGCATGCACTTCTTGAACCAGAATGTTTTTTTTTGGAATGTTTACATTTTTAAAATTTTATTATTGTATTGTTGTTGACATGTGGGGATTATTTTAATATGCTCATATGGTCAGCTGGCCTTTACTGAACATACCGGCCTCCATAAAACGATAGTTTTATAATAATGAACACCAAATTGTGTAAAAAACGGAGCACTGAAGAATATTCTGAATATTATTTACAGCTATTTACAGGTCCTTCCAAGTTGTATGGCTTAGTTTTGAGGGAGAGGGAACACTTTAACAACTGGTCTAGTAAGGTAACCATGTTGAGTCTTCAGATCAACAACCCTGACTTGTCCATCTGTGCCAGGATGCAACTGTGTGACACGGGCAAGGGGCCAGGACAAAGGAGGCGATGAAGAGTGGATCAAGACTAGATCTCCAACTTTTATGTTTTCTGTCTTATGAGTCCACTTGGATCGTTGCTGGAGTGTATGAAGGTACTCTAGTTGCCAGCGCTTCCAAATCCTTTGGTGGAGAGCTTGTACCAGATGCCATCTTTTGAGCCGAGTTAGTGGAATATCAGTATGGTCTTCTTCTGGAATTGATGCCAGCGGAGATCCTATGAGGAAATGTCCTGGAGTGAGTGCTGAACAGTCATTAGGGTCATTAGATAATGGTGTCAAAGGACAGGAATTGAGGATTGCCTCTATTTGTGTAGTCAGAGTCATGAATTCTAGGAGAGTAAGAATGTGTTCACCCATGACACGGCGCAGATGGTATTTGACACTTTTCACTGCTGCTTCCCATAGACCACCTTGATGGGGCGAAGCAGGAGGATTGAAATGGAAATTTATTTTCCTGGATGAGGTGAAATGCAATAGTTGTTCTTCAGATTCTTTGGTGCGCAGGGTGTTTTTGATTGTTCGACGCAGTGCAGAATCAGCGCCTACGAAGTTCGTGCCACAGTCGGAATAGATATCTTTACAGAATCCTCTTCGGGAGATGAATCGTGTGAGTGCAGCGATGAATCCCTCAGTTGTTAAATCTTCTACAACTTCTAAGTGCACTGCCTTTGTCACAAAACAAACAAAAACACAGATGTAGGTTTTGATATGACGCATTCCACGAAGATTGACAACTTTCATGTCAAATGGGCCACAATAGTCAACGCCACTGGTAGTGAATGGTCGAGCTGGAGTTACTCTTGCGGTAGGAAGATCTCCCATGAGTGGAGTGATGTTCTTTGGTTTCACTTTGAAACATTTTACACATTTATGAATACGTGTCCGACGAGCCGAAAGAATCCAATAGTTTTGGCAAAGGATTGCTTGGGTCAGTTGTGGTCCGGAATGTAAGTGAGTAGTGTGGACAAAGTCTATGAGAAGATCAACGATATGGTGCTTCTTTGGAAGTACTATTGGGTGTTTGACGTTGAATTTCAGCGATAGCTTCTTAAGCCGGCCTCCCACACGAATTATGCCGGAATCATCCAGAAAAGGGTCTAAACGTTGAAGATTAGAGGTACTGGGTTTGTTTTTGTGAAGTAGAGTCAATTCATTCGTAAAACATGTAGCTTGTACACACTTGATGATCGTACGCTCTGAGTTCTTAAGTTCAGAGACGGTGAGATGCCCATGTCTTCGGTCAGAGCTACGTGCATTGTGGATAAACCGCAAGACATAGCTTGTTACTCTAAGTAGTTTGGACCACGATGAGTACTTGGAGAGAAGATCCCATTCTGGATGATTCCGGCATAATTCGTGTGGGAATAAAATATTTTTGAAACCGGATTTGTATGAAAGATGCGTGTAGAATTGAATGCAGAGGCGTTATGTAGATTAATTGAGTGTGTGTGTACAGTTGTGCTTTGCTACGTATTAAATAATTTATTAATATAAATTATTACACTATTGCGTATTTAAAATTTGGATTTGTTCAAATCTGATATCCGTAGTAAATTTCACGATATTTTACTATTTATCCACGGAATCATTTTCCATTCATAAACATGCCATGACCAACATAAATTGCAGTTTTCATTCATGCGAGCTTTCTTACTGGCTTACACACTTAATTAATTGTTTTTCAGTTATTAAACTCATTGCTAAAATTGTTGTTACAGTTTGTAATTCTTATGCTGAATTTCCACCATTCAAAGAAAACGTGTTTTTAATAATCAATAAATTATCCATGTTAGTATTCGCTGTGTGTTTTTAAGAAAAGTTTTGTTTTGTGTTTGCTATTGTTAAAGTTTTTTTATTATTTAACATTTATAAGTGTTAAATTGAAAAAGAATTTACAGCAAACAATGATAAGTTTCTTTTATGTCTCTATCAATTGAATACATCTTCAATTGCAAAAACCGAATTCGAGGAACCGTAATCTCGTGTTTAATAGACCAGAATAAAAACTTAATTCTACAGTCGTTCCATAGTTTCTAAGTTCCATAGTCTGTGTCCTAGAACACAAAACAATACATATACAAAATAATTCATAATATTCCTTTTTCTGGTAGTGTGTATAAAGATAAATACGACGTTAAGAGTAATTAAACTGCACGACATTTTAGTAACGACTCAAAACCGGACAATTATTCTGTATTATTACACTGTTTTTGTCTCGTCCAAAAAGCAATATGTTCCGATGTATTGGTCCTCGGACTATGGTAAACAAGTCTAGACTGGCGCGACTTTGTTGAAGATCGTTTTGTAATCCGAGTTATAAATCCCGCTTATCCTAGATGATCTTTGAACATATAACCTCTTACGTTAAACCACTGTTAAACAAAATGTTATGGATACTAATCCTTCTGAAGTTTCTACGGTAAAAATATATTTTTAATGATATTAAAAATGTAGCGCGTATTTTAATTTGTTGACGATGTTAAATAACGTTTTTCATTGAAAGTTCAAATAGAGCTGCAGTAGAACGGACTATTTTTTTGTGGTCTGTGTATTATAAGGATGTCTAATTTTGTTTCATCATGTAGATTTTTATAACCTTCCAATAATGGCCATGTATTTTTATCTTTAACTTGCAAAGTACCCGTCCTTCGTACGGGGTTGGCGTATAAGCAGTATAAAATGCTTATTGGAGTTATACTCGTGCTTTGCGTTTGCAATGGGGAAGGACGCGGTTTGAGAAAATTTTGTTCTTTTATTTACAGTATGCTTTAATATAATAGTGAATACAAGTTATATTTCCAATCAAGATTTAATTCAAATCAGTATAAAATTTTAGTTTGTTAGATAAATAATGACTTTAATTCGTGTTTAGGGCATCACCAAATCTCGTGTGAAAATAAACCAGTCATCATTTTGTGAAAGAAAAAGTTACCAACTAAACAACGTCTACAGCTGCAATTTCATTGACAGTTTGAAAATCGTTCTGTTCGCGATGTTTTTGGACATGAGTGAGTGGCAAGTGTTGGAAATCCATGGAGAATTGCCTTAAAAACATTCTTGCGGGATTACGGTTTAATCAATCATTTTAAATTTGCAAATGATTTGGTGGTGGATTTTATCGTAATGGTCTTAAATGTTCACACAATTTTATATGAAATATTTATTTTGCTAACGTAAAACTCGAAACCTTCAACAGTTAGATATTAGACAAGATTTAAAAACCCAAGCTAAACTTTAGCTTTATCCTTTAAACAGTCCTAACAGTCCTAACACGTTGGTGGAAGTAAAGACTCTCCATCACAAGTGTCACTAATCGGAAATAAGAAAATCCTTTTCAACAATGATTGATTATAAAAATACATTATAAACATTCACAAGATGGTAACAGATTTTACATTGAGTCAACCAGTCACAAGGATGGTTTTCAGGCTGTAGTTAAGTCTAGACGGCGTTGAATGATGTACTATGTTATTTGCGTGTATTAAACACTTACAATGCAACCCTTGAGTTATTCAAATGAAATATTTGTGAAATATTTATAACATTTTAAAGACTACGATGTCGTTAGAAGTTTGATGTCATAACAAAATTATGAAAATAATTATAACTTCACCACACCAAAAAACACTATGGCTGTTCCATTTTTGCACCAAAGTGAATTGCACCTTTAATACATATTAATTAAGTTT